TATGAAGCAGATTTAATTGCATTCGTGGTATCCTTTTTCAAGGTTGGTGAAATCATAATATCATAATTATTTATCAGGAATTGTCGAAAAAATTCCACACAGTACAAAGTTCCACATTTACAACCAACACCTTATTCATATATAAAAACAGACATACAAAGACAAACTACAATGAAACCAGATAGCTACATCTGTTACGTACCTTGAATAGCACGACGGGTGTAACATATGGAGCAGGATCTGCGTACCATCTCCGAGCACATTAGATCACCAATTGGTTAGGTTCGTGTTGCTATGTCTTTATGTTTCTATGTAACGTTTTGTAGACAGTTGTTTGTCTTTTCGGCGTTTTGCAGATTTTTGTTTATGGTGTTCTCGTTTTCTCTTCCACTTTCAGATTTTGATTGTCCCTTCGGTATCTTCTGTCATTTTGGTACAGGCAAAAAATGTGCACCAACCTCCCGATTTACCTATCTAGACATGTGTTGTAAAACCAAAACACACAATTGATCAATACTTAAACAAGGAAGTAATTAACGGCAAACAATTAAGAAAGTTCTAAAGACTATGTTGAACTCATCTATCCCATCGAACTTGAGACAAAGGATACAACAGATACAGTTAAGTCTGCCTCATATCTTGACTTACGTCTAGAAATTGACAATAAGGGCCGGTTGAAAACAAAACTTTACGACAAAAAGAATGGTTTCAGCTTCCCAATTGTGAACTTTTCATTTCTATGGAGCAACATTCCAGCAGCGCTTGCATACGGAGTATATATCTCCCAGATGATACGATATTCCAGGGCTTGCATTTCCTATCATGATTTCATTGATAGAGGGTTGCTGCTCACAAGGAAGCTATTAAACCAAGAGTTTTTAATTCAATTGTTGAAGTTGAAGTTACCCTTTATAAATTTTTACGGACGCCATCACGAGTTGGTTGACCGTTATGGAATATCTGTTACACAGATGAAAGCGGGTATGTTCCAATTGTCGTAACTACAATCCCGTCCCGTTTCCCCCAAATTAGACTTATTACCGGCTTTGTACTAACATGAGCAACACAACGGGTGCCACATGTGGAACTGGAACTGCTTACCCTTCCAGAGTACCTGAGATCACCTTCAGTTTTGGTGGTGTTCGTGTTGCTCAGCCTTTAGTTTTCTATCTTGTGTTTTGTGTACTGTTGTTTGTCTGTTGGTCTTTTTCTTTTTTAGCCATGGCGTTGTCAGTGTGTTTTCAACTTCATGAGTTTGAATGTCCCTTTGGTATCTTTTGCCTCTCTTTCAGAACTATCAAAAAGTCTAATCAACATTTTTTTCCCGCATATTTTATATCACTGATTATTTCTACTTTTTGTAATTTCAATCTTTAAAAATAAGGTCAGTTTGTTGAAATTATATATAATAAAAAGAATTACATATGTTTCACTATTTTTTTCTAATTTTGAAACGTTCAATTTTCAGAAAATAGTTCAATACCTGACCAACAGCAAACATATGGCAGACAATTTATTGCTCAGCAAAAGTAATTCAACTTTAGCGCATGTTATTAACATTAACCATCTTAAAGAGTTATTTTCTTCGTATATACTATGTAAGCACCTTTCCCCAGAAGGCAGATTGTTAAAAAAATGAAAACAAGAAACAACTTACTGCACGAAATGGATAAAACGAGAAAAAGCTGACAAAAAATCCTTAGATTCTTGTTTCAATTCAGTAATGAACATAGTTTAAAGAACATTTTACTCCTAACAACAATCATTATAGCCCTATTTCTCGTATCAAACATAAGCTATAAGAACTCGCCAAGGAATTTGTTTTTGTCCCGGCTGATAAGGCTGCCAATAATATCATTATTGACGTAAACTTTACATTGAGGTTCTGCAAAAGGAAATCACGAGTTCACCAACATTCAAACTGACTCCATTTTCGGAAAATGACATCTGTAACAAATATAAACCTTTAGCTACCTCTTTACAAGCAGAACCAAATACAATGAAAGTTCCAACTATGTAATGGCTTCCGAAGCTGCACAAAACACCTTACAAATATAGATTTATTTCGTCTTCAAGCCATTGTTCCACTACTAAACTGTCTATTCTACTTCCTAGTACACTTGGTACAATAAAACAACCTGGTAATAAATTGTTCAAATAAGGCCTTTGAAAATAGTGGAATTAATTACTTTTGGAGTGGTAAAAATTCGTTGGAAGTTCTTGATAAATTGCATGCTTATAATGGTGATTTCGAATCTGTTCAAAGTTTTGATTTTTATACCCTATATACCACTTTGCCTTATAATCTTATTGAGAAATAAAGCTAATGCTAACAATGAACACTGCCCTTTCCTGGATCTTGATACCTATATCTTCAACGGGAAGCTTAATACCAACATATACGATAAAAGAGATAATTTTTTCATTTCCTATTATTAATTATCCTTTTTTAGATGGTGACGTTCCCTTGTCATCATCTCACGGTGTTTATATATCTCAACGTGTTCGATTCGCTCTTGTATGTAACAACGTTTTAGATTTTAACGAAAGAAATCTCTGTATTACTGAAAAAATATTACCCTAGGGTTTTCGATATCACAAACTAGTCAAAACATTTACTAAATTTTATCATCGGTACAAGGACATCATGCGTAAATATAAATCAACATGCAGACATCTTATACGTTCAGGTATTTCGCATCCAATCGACAATTTGACAACTTTTAAATTTTTCGCCGTGTGTAAAACATATACAGACAGTGGCTTGACATTATCATAAAAAATTCTGTCTATTGAGAACTTTAGATAACGAAAAAGACAATATATGTCTGTAAACTACTCGATGCTGAAATCCTAGTTTTATAAATCCTAGCAGACAATTTAGATGTTGAAAAATTACATTTAAGGAAGATTTAGAAAGTAGTTTCTGAACAGTATTGATCCTAGTAAGTTGTTTGGTTTTCCCGTGGATAACAAAGGCAAAAGATCCGTAAATATTATGCGTGTAGGACAATTTGTGTTGACCATGTAGTTTATAAATATGGTGCGTTCGAAACGCTTTTCTGTATTTGTCTTTATCATGATCGCTCAAACCTAAACATTTGATAGCAAGTGTTGTAAACATATATATACATAGATACTTTAGGATGTATTTGACCAAAAGCGACCTTCTAATGATTTCCCAATTATTCTAATGTAAACTTAATATGAGAGAACGTTAATTTCTAAATAATTTATTCATTTATCAATAAGTTGGCCTTAGATAGATTTGGCTATTTTTTATAGGTCCCCTTTGGTCATATTTAATCAAGGAAAACAAATTTATGAAGTGTAATTTCCATATTGTACTTATTCATGTCATTCGGTTGTTGAAATTTTCATACCAGTTGCGAAATCCAAATATATAGAGGATATAAATGAAGATCTAACCCATACTCACAAGGATTTATACCGCTACATTTTCAACTTTCAAACGTCGCGTTGATATGTTCTCTCAAATGATTTTTTTCAAGTGCAATATTAGACAGATATTCAAAAAGTTTGCAAATATATTAGTCGACTCGATTTTTAAAATCATGTTTCATAGCTAAACACTAGTATTGAATACTTCTACTCTTGTGGTGTTCCCACCTGTGAAAAAGAGACGGAATATACCAAATTGACATTCAAAACGGCTAAGACGAAGAAAAGCTGACAATGTCATGGAACAAATACGAAAGACAAACAAAGTGGTTAACGACTGCATCGGCTTTGAACTAGTATTCAATAACTGTTAGTACTCTCAGATCGGTACTTTGTATCTTTAATGTTTTTATTAGTTGTTTTTGTGCTCTGTATCGATCTGATGAGTCAAACCATTTTCAACTGTTTTGTTGTTGTTTGTTCGTATGCTATGCTTCCTCACCACTTTACCAGATTAGGGGGAGGGTTGAGGACAGGCAAAGATTATACACTCTGTATATGACTGCCATAAGTCAGAAGCCTGTAATTCGATATTTTGTCGTTTGTTGGTGTATATCATATGTGTTTTCGTTTATTGTTTTGAACATAATTCAATTGGTTGGTTGGTTTTCTTGATTGATTGTTTTTACAAATTTGTTATGTTGGAGCAGTTGCTATGTTGTTTAGTTTATGCTCATTATTGAAGGTCGTACGGGGACCTATAGTTGCTAACATCTGAATTTTTATCGTTGCTTCTATCGCTGCTCGTTCTGAGCCTTGAAATACAGATAAACAAGAACATGTGTCCAGTGGACACCATGCCACTCTCTTGGTCAAGACGTTAGATTGGCATATATTTTAGAAAGTTCACCCAGTAATGATCAATTGCCTTAATTTTACGGCTTGATAGTTCAATTTAATGTGACCGTAATTTCATGGTAAACTATCTTAAACTAAAAACTTAACCCGATACTGGACTGACGTTGGAACGGACGGATGGACCTAGCAAAGACCGGCAAATAATATGCTACCTTCTATCGTAGGCGGGACATATAAAATCGGGAAATGTTACTACAAACAGACACTTTTATCTCTCAAATTTTTTTTTACGGATATCATCATGACATGGACAATTTACGGAATGTCTAGGATTATGTTGATTTCATTTATCGTAGTTACAATTCTTGCTACTGTCCTCACTACTGACACCATCAAATGCAAATAAATATTTCCTACACTTAAATTTGCTATAAGTTACACGATGTGTTCCTATAGTGGAGCAGGAAAAAACCTACCCGATGCGCACGAGTTCACAGCGTTCGTGTCGCTTAAAAAATTTATTAAATGGGTATGTTTATGAATTGTTTTTTTTTCTCTCTTTTGTTTGTCCTTTTCATCATTGTGTTTGTCTGTGCTTCTTCCACTTTTCCACTTATGGTTTTGATTTTCCATTCATCTCATACATTATGATTTTTTTTTTTGATTATGTTTTATAAAGAGCTTAAGGATTGATAACCAAAAAGTCCAAAAATACTATTTTGATTTTATTTTCACTTTAAATAATTAATGACACACTATAAAACTTGAAATGATGCATGTATTTTCCAGAAAAAACTTAAAATGATAGTGACATGCATAATAACTCAATTGCAAAATGAAAACCACAATGGGCTAAGGAATACAAAGCAGAACAACATTTTATGTAATTTTATAGACATATACATATAATCTTAAGTTTAAGTAAAGGACCAATATTTCATACATAAGATACAGTGCATTTGTTTTAATGTTGCACATCACACGAAACCTATTTGTATACACAATATTCTAATATGATAAAAAAAACTTTTCACGGAGATAAATTTGAAAATTGAGAAGCAATAGAAGACGATATTTAACTTGTACCTTTTGGAAGCAGTATATGAAAGACTATTTTTAATCGAAAGTCGCTAAAAAGGATCTCAAATAATGAATGGATATTGCATTTTGAAACGAATGTCAAGAGACAACCAAAACAGAACGATAGGAAGGATCCTCATTGTCGATAGAGCATTTGAAAGAAATGTATTTTAACTGAAATATTTAAAGCAATAAATTAAAAAAATTTAAGGTACATGATGATGCATTTAAATGCATATTTAGGACGAGAACGGGTTTATAGGATAAATATTTTGATGACCCTGCCTGTAAGTAAACCAACATAATGCCATGTTAAAAGATCATACCGGTATGATATATTTGTGTATCCCCTAACGACAAAAACTACTACTTTAAGTTTATAACTAGGCACTTGTGTTAAGTTAAAGCGAAGTTTGTTATTAAAATATTTTTTTTCAGTAATGTGATTAATAAGGTCTTTTGACAAAATGTACGTCCTTCATTGTTTTTTCTCTAGCAATTATTTTAAGCTGAGGTAAAAAGAAAGATGTTATCGTATGATAAGACCACTTTTTGGCCCCTTGAAATCAAAATTACATTATAAATCTACCAAATGATTCCCTTATAATTAAGTAGTTCATCTTTCATTAGTTTGTCAGATAGCTGTTTTTTTATTTTTCTCTTACATTCATGCATAAGGAATTCCAAAATAGCCTGGGTGGCCGAGTGGTCTAAATTGTCAAACTACTGTATCACTAGCCTGTCAACACTGAGGTTGTGAATTCGAATCCTGCATGTGGCATTTATGCTGGGCTCCAACCCTAACTGACTGGGATTGTCGGTGGTACTTTCCGGGCATTCTGGCTACCTCAAGCAATAAAAACTGCGCGCCACAAAACAGCTCAATAGTCCTGAAAGTGGCGTTAACATCAATCAATCAATCAATCAATCAATCAAAATAGCCTCATTTTTAAATCATTGCAACCGATATCAAGATAAGAGGCACGGGGTTACCATGTGTGATATTTTGATGTTTACAAAAATGTTAATGTGTGAAAAATATCTTTTCTGGTAAAGCTCTGGCTCATATCTCTTATGTCCAAAAACAAATGAGTAAAATGGTAATATTTTAGTAAAAAAAAAAACAATAAAATTTTGAAAGGAACAGTCTATAACGTTACTTCCAATTAATACTTTAACCAAACGTATCTTTCTTTTGGGAAGTGAAGACAAAAAAAATCTTATTTTGCTTCTACCACGTTCTGTTCCAATTGACAAATCTCAGTTCTGACATTCTTCTACCTCATTAGACAAATAAATCTATATTATATATTTTCATATTCATTATATACATCATGTTCATCATATTCATTTTCATATATGGGATATAAAGCATGTTCACTATATTCATCATATTTATCGTCAGTCACATAATCACATTGGTTGTTTACAGGGAATGAAAGAACATATCTCAGATACCTATATACAGAAAGAAGAAGAAGACATTTTCTTGATTTTGCTATGAATGGCAAAATGACTCTACTAAAACGTTTCCGCATTAGGTACAACATAAAAATAAACATAAATCTTGACTTATCTATATAAGTACTTCTTCTGTTGGTAAGTAAAACGTCCAAAACATCCGCATACCCATGGTATAGCGCCAAATGCCAAGGCCGAAGTCCAAGTACGCTGGTTTTAACGTCAATGTTAGCGCCATGACCCAGCAACAATTTGCAAAGTTCGAAATTCCCTTTTTCGGCTGATAAGTGCAATGGATATTTTCTGACACTGAATTCGGCTTGAAATGCAGAATGAATCGGAACAATTTCTACTTCTGAATTAGTTTCTACATTTGCGTTCAATAACAGTTCAGCATACATTATTTTTCCAATTATGCAGGCAATATGAAGGATATTTATTCGCATTTCTATTTCATGGTTTAATGTTCCAGATGAAATCGCTCTCTCTGGTAAATTTAAGTAGCACAAATGACAATATGACATCTTTACTTTCTCATTTAAGTTTTGAATTGATGTTTTTGCCAAAATAGTCTTGAAAATAACTTCATTTTCTACCAAGCATGCCAAATGAAGTGGTTTAAGTGTTGAATGAGTACAAATTAATGTGTCGGTGCCGATGCATATTTCTATGAATAACTTTGCAGTGCTCTCAGTATTTGCATCGTTTGTAATAAGTGTTTTGGCGATATCAGTGTTTTTGCACAAAATAGCAGTATGAAGAGCTGTTATTGTAAAGTATGACTCTTCTGTTATTAATTCAGATATACCCCTAGAGTATGTTGTATCAAGATGTAATGGATGAATTGAACAAAATACATTTATGTTATAAGTGTTTTCTAATATGCAATCTACGAAATCTGCATCGTCTATTATGCAAGCAATGTGTAACGGTGTCATCTCCGATACTGCGTTTAATACATTTTTTACATTATGAATATTAAGCATTTGTAAACAGTAAAGAAATAAAGTTGATACTCGTGCAATAGCATGTATATCACACTTCATACAAACCAAAATCCTTAGAAGTTCTACATCATGTAGAAAACATAACAAATGAACGAAATTTACCTCCATTGGTAAACATAGATTAGTGCTGATAAATTCCAAATCAAGTCCTCTTCTTGAATCCTCAATAGCAGCTAAAAATTCCGTCGCGAGAGGAACCAATGACTTGTTGCGCATTATTGAAATATGAAGTGGTGAAATGCATGATCTCGCATTTACGTCAATGGTGATTTGTAACAGATATTTTATTATTTGATCGTCGTCAAACAAACATGCTATAAGTAGTTCATCAAAAGTTACATTTACATCCTTATTGTTAATTGTTTCAATTATTGGTAAATCTGAATCAAACATCTCCGTTCTGTAGAAAAATGCCGCCAAATCTAACACATTCATGCTATTATTCTGAATGGTTTTTCCTTGAGAGCATAAAAATTTTACATTCGATTTATTTTCGTGTAAACAGGCGACCAGAAGCTGTGAAACAGTTGCTTTTTCATCAGTTGTTTTGGTGATATTTAACAAAGATTGAGGCAGCCTTTTGTTTACCAAATAACTTATCTCTAAATGTGTGAATTGGAGTAAATCGACTGCAATGCCACTATATGAGTTCATAAGCAGGTATTGTAATTGCTCATCCCTAAGTAATGCTAGGTATGTCATGTTTATCTTAACATCTTTATTTAAAATAGCTGAATGTGACAAAAATGCGTTCATAACTTCTTCATCGTCGGTGTCATGAAAAATATAGTCAATATCTATAATTTGACATAAATGGACTTCAAAATCATCGTTCAGTAGCAATGAAAATTCGAGTTCGCAAGCTAGATCATCATCGAAAGCATTTGTATGAAAGGATGATAAACATATCAAACTTGTATCGTTTATATGTTGTTTTTCATGTAAATCATCAGGAAAAGTAAGAAGTGAAGAATTTGACAACAGACCATGTGTCATCCATGTCCAAATAACAATAAACGTTCTTGATATTATGCTACATGAACTTAGATCCGAAAATATTGGAATTTCAGTTCTAACAATAGATCTTTTGTCTCCAACGAATAACGATAAATATAAAGGAGTAAATTCCATTACATCATCGTCATAATACCTGAGTGTGATCAAAAACGCAAATAACGTACTGTCTTTAATAAGGCATGATAATTCGGTAAATGTAACTCGTAAATTTAAAGTATTACTGTAATTGGTATAACGTTCAACAATGTATTCATAAGCATCGTAGTTACTGTACATATTGAGTAAGTGAATTGATTGAATAAAGAAACGCCTACTCATGTGACAATCATTTTGGAAAATAAGACGTAAATGATCTACAAGTCCTTTGAAACATACTGCATGTAACGCTGTGATTTCTAAAATACTTGATGTTCGTGTATGTTTTTGAAGCAAGGCGTTACTCATGCCTGTATTGTCTTTTAAGCAGCAAATAAAAAGTGCATTGATAGTACATTCCAACGTAAAATCATGGCCTTTTTTAATATTTTCAAATGTTTTTAGAATATCTTTATTTAGTGCGATGACATGTAATAAAGAGAGTGATACACAACATTCCGGATTTGCGTTGTTGTCCAACAAAAATGCCATTAAATTCTTATTCTCGACCAATGCAGAGAATATCAAAGGTGTTACCTCAGTTTGGAACATTGTGTTATCTATTTTGTATGTTGACATAATCCTTAACAGCATATCTTGACATTCAAAATTTAACGATAAGAATATAGGAGTTATTATAAATGTGTTGTTTACATTTGCTTGATTTGCTGTAACTAGAAAAGACGCAATTATCGTCTCGCCAAGAACACAAGCTACTTGGAATGATGTCAGCCGAAGTCTCCCTATATTGAGACATTCTTCTATTGTCATGTTGATGTTTTCATAAAGGGAACCAATCATGATATAATTTACATCAGCAGAAACCATATTCAATGTATTATTTACTAATACCTTCACTATAGCTTAATTGTTAAGTATGACCGATACACATAACGGTGTCAGGATTTCGCATTCAGAACTATCATCTGGATTGCCATGGGAGATATGAACTGGTGAACAAATGTTTGCATTTTGGTCAATTAAAATCTGAATAATTTCACAATTCTGAACAAAACATGCAAATGAAAGTGGGGTTAGATCTTTGACGAAGGAAGCAGTGGTATGTCCAAAAAGTTGTTGGAGTCCTTGTTTGGAAATATTTGTCATCTTATTAACTGAAGCGCCCGATTCTATAATTGTTTTTGTATTTCTCAGATCCTGGTTACAAATGCATATTAAAAGTGGTGTTACACCAAATTTTGATATACAGTCTACGTCTACGTTTGGGTTATCAATCAGTTGATCAATTAGTTCATTATCACTTAACCTGCAAGCAATGTGAAGTGGAAACTCATTGTTATCCACGTATGAGTTCAGATCTACTGAAATCAAATATCGTCGTAGAATACTTTTATTGCTACACGATGAAGAATATGCTTTCAAAAGGGTCGATTTATGTTCCAATAGTTGTTCTATGATCTCTTCAATGTTCCAATTCAACAAAATATCAATGACTTTTGCATGTAATGTAGAAGCAACAGCTACTATTGTTTCGCCTAAATATGATCGTATATTTATTGCAGCTCCGTTGTTCAGTAGAATTTCGATAACATTTCTATGACCATTACAGCATGCAAAATGCAATGCAGTATAGCCATTATCTGATTGCTTGTTAATATCAGTTTTTCCGCACGCCAACAACTTTTCAACAACACTATCATTTCCTTTCGAACAAGCAATATGCAAAGCTGTTTGACCTTTTACATTTTCACTATTTAAATCGATATTTGAATGAAGAACATCCTCAATGATATCATCCATTCCATATTTAGCTGCCAGAAAAAAAATGTTATGCAAATTGTCTGTACTAAGTTGGCGACGAACAATTTTATTGAAAAGACATGCTAACTCATTTCGGTTGTTCGCACAGGCATGTGCGAATTCTACTCCTAAAATCGTCTGATTAATCAGACAGTTTTCTAAAACTTCTTTTATATCAGATAGATTACCTTTTGCGCAAAGCTGATGAAATGCTGTATCATTTCCATTTGTTGATACAAATAAATCAGCACCATGTTGAAGAAGAAGAGACCCAGTTTTTATTTGTGACGTGTATTGAGATGAATCAACATGTGATAAAGCTTCGTAGCAAGCATACAAGGGCGTTTTTCCATCAAAAGCTGCATTTACGTCAAAACTTTGATCTCTTTGTAAAATCATCTGAACAAAGTCAACACAGCCTTTTTTGCAAGCTTTAATAAAAGAATATTGCAAATCGAGACACATGTCTTTCCAGTCTGCAGTATAAGCTAACAAACTTTTGGTAAGTTTCGCATCAGCCATTTGGAGTGATTTATTTAATGCAGTGTCACCCCAATAGTAACAAAAATTTGCATCTGCACCATACTGAAGTAAAAGATCTACGATTTCATAAGCTCTGCTCTCACAGCAAATTATAAGTAAACTCTTAAAACGAGATAGACACACGTTTGCGTCTGCTTGATTTCTTAACAACAACCTTACAGTATTCAACTTTATTTGGATGCAAGCAAAGTAAAGTGGACTGAGTCCTTCGTTATTACAAATATTGACATTAGCACCGCAGTTAACAAAGAGTTCTGCAATGTCAAATCTGTCAAGTTCACATGAAATACAAAGTGCAGTCTCTCCTTCATTGTTTCTGATGTCTAGGTTTGGTGAATTTTCAAGCAAAAGTTTTGTTAATTGAATGTCGTTGTCTTTACAAGCTTTCATGAGTAATGTGTCATTTTTTTCTCCATAAGTGAAATTGATATTTGCCCCAAAACAGACAATGAGATTCATCAGATCTGCGTTCTTTTTTAGATAGGCAGAGTACAACATTTTTTCGCCTCTATCTGAAACCCTATCGAGAAAATTGTCTGGACAAGTATTTACTGAATAAACATTTGCATTCCAAAAGGCGAACAATTCTCTCAAACATTCCGCTTGAATAGATTTTGATGTTTTACGAAAGGCATCCATTTCAGCTTTTATTAGAAATGGGTCAGCACCATCTCTTAATAGTAATTCTACAATATAGTCTAGACAGGTTCTGTATGCTGTTTGAAGAGGCACTTCGTTATCAGGAGTAGCAGACTCTGTGCAAATACAGTTTGAAACCAGGAATTCCGCAACGTCTCGGTGGCAATTCTCACAGGAAGAATAAAGGGTATCAACATTATCAATTTCAATTATATTCAAATTTACGAGTTTGCTGTATATAAGAGAAGCTATTTCAAGATTACCATTTGAACATGCGCGGAGGAATAAGGTTTTCAAACTCTTACTTACTTCCAAATCAGAATTCCTTATTGTATCTAAAATGTATTTTGCTATATCATTTTGCTTATGTATAACTAAAAGCCACAATACAGATATTTTGTATATTTGGGTATCATCTAAACTTGCTTCAATTGCTTTGTTGTTTCCTGAGAAACATGCTATTAAATTGGTAGATACGTCAAAGGTTTCTGTAAAATTCACTTTTTTATGCATTAATATTTTGAAGATATCCCAATACTGTCCAAGGCATGATATTTGAAGAGGAGATAAAAAAAAATATTGTTTAATCATATTATGATTGTCTGAGTAAATATAACCTTTAATGCAAGCGACTTGTGCCGATGAAATACCAATAGCAGTTTCTGCATAATGAAAACGATTATTCTGCACCAATGTCTCAACAACATCTGTATACCCGGAAAGACACGCAGCATGAATAGGATGAACATCTTTGACTACTCCGAGCTTTTTATAGTAATGAAGTATCATTTTGCGAGTTCCTCCTGACATCTGATAATTACCATTTTGAATAGCCAACAGAAACGGCGAAATATTACAGGATATATTTAGTCTTGCATGATTTTGTAGTAATTGATTTACCATATTATGCGAATTATTCATACTTGCTATATGAAGTGATGTGGATTTAGATACTTCTGTAGCAAAATCTGTATAAGATAATAAATCAATGATATCTTCTTCACCGTTATATTGCATGTAAGCTAGACATAATGTGTCTATTTCATTGCATGCATTTATATTTGCTTCATTTTTCAAAAGAATACTTATTAAATCATTATATTCGTAAAAACATGCAACTAATAAAGGGTTTATACCATTTGCACTTTTGATGTTTGTTCTTGCCTTGTTTTCTAGCAAATGGTTTACTATTCTAAGGTTCAAACTTTTCCCCATACAGATTATTTCTAATGGAGTCATCATGTAGGTTTTATCGTCATTCCATTCATCTATAAAAAAATTATCGGCGTCTTCCTTGCATTTAAAATCACACAAAACAGGTCCTTGTATCTCGCTGATTTGATTAACATCAGCATCGGATTGTATAAGGGCCTCAATCGATTCATAATCATTCATCATGCAAGATATATGGAGAGGAAAGGGCAATGTACTTCTACAGGATATGTAGTTACAGTCGACATTTTTTGAAATAAGCATATTCACAATTTCTGGGTGGTGGTTTAAACAAGCTAGTTGTAGTGGATTTCGGTTATTATGACATAAACCATAGATATTTGCTTTTGTATTCAAAAGCATTTCAGCAATTGTTTTAAAACCTTCAGAGCATGCTATGGTAAGAGCAGTGTCACCGGATGATAATTGGGCGTCAACATTAATATTCATTTCTAAAATAATCCTTAGAAATTTGCTGTCATTACTAAAACATGCCTTTTCTAGTTCAGCAAATACAAAGCTGAAGCTTGTATTTTTATTTTTCAATGAATGCAAAAGTGTTCTCAACAGTTGTACGTCATCCTTTTCTTTTATTAAACAGAGTGGCGATAGCTTTGTTAACTTCGAGGTTTCAAACATGCAAGCGCCTTTTGAAATAAGAATTTCAATAATACGGCAATTGTGTTTCTTACTTGCAAAATACAGTGGTGTTTCATTGTTATTTGTCTTACAATCGATGTGAGCATCATACCCGATCAAAATATTTACAATATCTTCCTTTTCATTTATGCATGCTTCGTGAAGTGCTGAAATACCGTCGTTATTTTCCTTATTTACATCAGCCTTGTATTGAAGAAGTAGCTGTGTAATTTTGATGTTGCCATTTTTAGCTGAAACTGTTAATGGAATTAAACCTCGTTTGTTATATACATTAGGTCTTGCACCACTTTTGAGAAGTTTTTCGACAATTTGTGTTTGATCAGTGAAGCAGGCCTCGTACAGAGGCGTTAAACCCCGACGTTTATGACTATTGACGTTGACCCCAGATTGTATCAATACATTAACTACATGTTCATATCCATATTTACAGGCAATATGGAGCGGAGACATGCCAATATCGTCACATCCATTGATATCCATGCCTTTGCTTATACAAAATTCTACCATTTCTTTATCTCCTTGTTCACACATTAGATGTAAAAAGTTGATTCCAAGATGTGAAATATTTAGAATTTGAGCAATCAGCTCATCGTTCTGCAATTCAAGTGTATGAAGAAAACGTTTTCTAAATATTTCATTTTTCATTTGTTTACAACCAAAAATATCTAAAAAAGTTCCCTCTGTAACCTCATTTAGCATTCTGTAAAAGTATTTTTTTTCGAAAGATTCAGGAACAGCTATTCGTTGTATATCATCTGCATGTGTTAAAAAATCAAATTCAAAGCGTTCACAAAGTAACAATATATCACCGTGTTCAATAAAACATTTCATGCATTTCTTTGAAAAATACTGGCATGCAAAGTCAAATATTTTGCCATGTATGAACGAATAAATGTCATCCAGTTTTGTAATGTAGACCCCAAGTAAAATATCCAGGTGATTGCTTAATAGTGTTCTTGACGTATTTGTATTTTGCATACTTGCTTCAAAGATGTCTACAAATGCTGCCTTGTCTTTTGTGCTTAATTCATCGTCAAGTAATGTTTCGCTTAATTTACCATTAAACACAGTGACAGAAAGTAAAGCGCAATAATTCATCCCAGCTGTTATTGACATTTTGTCAAATTCCCCTTCAAAATAATTATATGGGTTTCCTATGAAGTCGATTATATTGCTTTCTTGAAATTTAGAAACCATACAACATAATAATGGAAAACAATCATATTTTTGTATATACTCCTCTGACATCTTTTTCGTGTATTCCTCTGGTATATATACATCAGCAATGGACCTTTTTTCTTGGACGGTCGGTGAGTACTTTTCAGAGGTCATATTGAACTGACACTGAGTCAACAGTTCTAATCTCTGTAATATAGGATGTTTAAACACCTGCAGTCTACAGGTCGCCAAGATTTTGATAGGTGATATGGAAAAACAGTCTTTAATATCTGAAGCATATCTATCCCATTTTTCAATCTCAGACTGAATAACATTGTATCTTCCACATATGTCATCAACAATAAATAACGCTTTTCTTGTTTTAGCAGCATATGTGCTTATATCTTTTGGCGATTTAACTGGTAGTACGTCAAAACCCTCAAGTAACATGTGTAGACCTACGTGCCTTGAAGTAACTGATTTACCAACACCTGCATTTCCTGTAACTACTATGATCTTGTTTTTCTTCAGTACTTCTAAGAGGTGCTTTGAACTATTTGTTTGAACGAATTTCTCATCTGAAGATTTCCAGTCAGATATTACTTTCGTGATTCTCTCTAAAAGGTATGATGAATGTTTGTATTAGATATATAAAACAATTAATATACCTGTTTGAAAGAGCAGAACAACATAGATGTAAATTTGAATGAGATTAGAGATGAGGTTATTGGAACTAAAGACAATAGTTTATATGATTAGATTTTATATATGTTACTATAATTTTTCTCCAATCTTCTTATTGATAACATTCAAAAGGACAGTAATATATAACTACAACCACAATGGAGAATGGAATGATTGCAGATGCAAAAACTATCTACTAGAGTTCAAATGTCTTGCATATAAGCAATTATAGGTTATCATGTAAATTTCTCCTCGGTAGAAGTGGTCATAGTGTATGTCGTCGTACTATGAGACTGTTGTGTAGTTTTATTGTTTATCGTGTTACTTGAGACAAAAGTGAGGTCATGTTGTGTGTCGTGTTACTACGGGACTACTACGTATTCATAGTAAAAAAAAAATGAAAGATATTAATTTTATCATTTCATTTCGTCAAACGCGCGTTTCATGTATACAACCCTCGGTATCTCACTTTATCAAAAGTTACATGCAAAATCAATTACAAAGTTGAAGATCATTGAAACATCAAATCTTCTCGTAAATGTTATGCAAAATCAGGATATAGCTATCTGTGCCTGGGATAAAAAGCCTTTATGTTTTGAACGATTCTAACTTTTTTATGAACAGTTATACTATTTCCATAATTTACAGAATCAAAGATATATAATCTCGAAGTGTATATTGCATAACTAAAGACTAAAAACTTGGTCATACAGTATCCCGTTTTTGTATATGACTCAATTATAAAGTTTATGTAGTCTTTATATGATGCTAGAGCAATTTTAGATCATACTAGAACTTGATGTTTATACGGATTTAAGTCTTATAAAAAAACTACCGGTAAACAACTTACCCCTGATATTGTTTGGCACTGGATCTTGGAGTACATGTTGATGTGTTTGCTCAAATGTTTCAACTTTCAACATCAATATTTCCACCAGTTCAGTTAGTCTCGTTAAGTTTTCTTTTTGGCACTTCAAATCTAACAACAGCTGTTTGAAAAATGAGCTGTCCAAACTACAGATTTTTAAATTGGCACACTTCTGTTGAATAACATTCCCTCCTAGTCTTATCGACGCCTGTATTAAATTGAATGCAGATAAATATTTTCAAAATAACATTTACGACATTGAAAGGTTAGAAGAATCTTTTGCTTAACAAACCTTCGTTTTAATACAGAAAGAACTTTTTTTATAATATTAAGTAAATTATTCAAATTTACACACGAAAAAGCACGTTACTTACAAATGCTACAGATAATGAATATTTCCTTTCTATCTTTATATTTAGATAAATAAGTTTTCAAAGTTAAACTGCTATTTGCTAACAAATTTGACGTTGAGACATATTGATTGAACCAGTTCAGGTAAGCAATCATTTATAAATTCGAGTTCAAGAAAGTTATTCTTTAAAATTTCAGGAAAAGCAAGTATGAATATACACTTTAAAAAATGAGTCATGTTCGCATCTACACTTGCATATCTATATATATTTCAACTTATACGCGGTACCATATGATATTTTAGTGTGATTTTTAGATAATATGGGCATATAACAATTTTGGTTTCAGTATCAAAATACATCATGTGACTAATTTTAAAGATATCAAATGATGTATAATTTTGCATGAACATAAAAGAAGATAAGTAAATTCAACTAAGAACAGCTTTTTTTCATAATGAAAATATATCTAAGATCCAAAAGTGTGTAAAACGTATTTTTTAATATTGGTATGGAGGATCTGATATTGGTGACTTTCCTTTGTGTGGTACAAAATTACTTCAAAATGTTAAATTATATTTTTTTCTAGTTTTATAAATCTTTGAATGATCTAACTCAAAAACATGTTCAACCGATCGGTACAAATGTTGAAGAGAAACCAACAACACCTTGCAAAAAGTAAAACAAAGAACAGAAAACAATTCCCAAAACATAACACGAAACGCCCCTCCCCCCTTGAAAACAAGAACAGAGACTGGTGGTCCAAAAAGATTGCTCAAATGATTAGACCCGTCTTGTTTGACATGTAAAATAATCAGATGCTAAACTACAATAATTTAAATGGAAATTGAAAAAAAAAGATACCATAGACACAGTTTTGTCTGCTTCGAGGATAATGCTAGCTTATTATCATTTTTAGGGAGTAACTCCTGCATGGAGTCTGTCACATAAAAAACACAAGTCAGCGAAAGGAAAAGAGAGAAAACTGAAATGCCGACTGACCGTTCAGTATTTTTTTGTGATTTTACTTTTTGCAAAACACCTCACCAAACGTTACAAATGTTTTTCAATAAAAAACGACATCAGGCATAAAATGTTACAAGGTTAAATCAGTTATCTTTTGAAATCAGAGTGATTATGTATGCCTTTCTGAAACAAGATATTTATGTATACCACGCTTTATTTTTATATTACAAAGTTTTACTAAATTTTCCAATACATATATTATAGTACTACATGTGAAAAAGGTGCAGATTCAAAAGTGTTCATATTATTGTAAGGAGGAGAGAAATGTTAATTACCTTAATATGAATTTCATTTCTTCAATTTACTTCTACAGTAACGCTGAATCCCATTTTAGATTACCGATATGATAGATGTTATTTATTTAGAACGAGGTTTCGTGGAGATTTGGCATAACCAACAGTGAAAACATGTTTTGGAGGATACTTATTTTGTATATCTAGTAGCGAGAAAAAAGATCCATTCCGTCTTCTTTGAGTTGTCACTACGTATTACATTTATTCCTTATAATGTGCACAAGGTAAACGTTACAGTGACATGAAGTGGGTTGCAAAGAACTATACTATGGAAATTCTCAGCAATATATCATTAAGTTGCTAATTTTTCGTCATTTTGTCTCATAAGCATTTATACTACATCTTCTTATTTTCATATCAGAAAGTTGTGTAATATTGTTATTAGTGAATTGGTTAGACTACTGATTAATTGGGTTTCTAAAACGAATTTGTTTTAATTTTCCTGAAATATTTACCTCGCTTACATCCTTCCAAGCGTCATTAAACATTTGATTCGATAGTTTTCCATCCCCTGAATGAGCAGATAGATTTCTGTAATGTTTTATTCTTGCAAGATCGGCTCCTGGACTTATGTCCGAAGAGGAAGGCAGTACATCAAATCCTCTGACTGGTGCAGCTATTCCAGAAATATTCCTCAGCAAACATATCATTAATGTCAAATCAAAATTACAAGAAGTCACAGACGTCGATCCTACAAATAAGTTTTTAAATCATTAAGTATCGTCTAGATTAACAATTTGCAATTCAAAAAGGTATTTTTATGGTTTTCAAGCTTAAGAAATAAAGGACCAAAAATCACAATTTTACAAGGTCACCTGGCCCAAAAACCCATGTGACTTATCGTTATCATTTTTTGTCCGTCATCGTCGTCTATTGTCCATATATCCGTCGTAGTTAACTTTTAAAAATCTCTTAAACTACATACTGACTTCTAAAGCGAGTTATTTCCCCTGATAGACGATTCTTACAGATTTTTTGCATTTTTTTTAAAAACTTTAATAGATAGAGTGAAACTCTTAAAAATATAGCAAGTTAAATAAAGGCAACAGTAGTACACCGCTGTTCAAAAGTCATAAATCGATTAAGAGAAAACAAATCCGGGTTACAAACTAAAACCGAGAGAAACACATCAACTATTAGAGGAAAACAACGGAACAACAGAAACACTGAACTGCAACAAAAACAAACGCTAACATACATAGAAACGGACTATTTGATAACAACTGCCATATTGAGAAAAATGGTGGGTTGAACCTGGTTTTATGGCTAGCCAAACCTTCCGCTTATATGGCAATGTTAAAAAATATCGCTAAAATAACAATACTGCGTGACAGGAATACAGTACAAACAAACGCAAGAACACTCAGCACAGAGAAATGCATAAATAAATAATATAATAGTATATTACAACATGTAAACCGCAGAATAACAACGGACATCTCCCATGAATTAACGACAGCACAGGACACCACAAACTGCGCGTCACATAAATGGATCAACGCCACAAAAAGTGACGTATTTTTGTGACGTATATATAATCTTGAAATTCATACAATTAACCGAAACGAGATCCAAAAATTCACAATAATTTTCAAAATACTAGTCCAAATAATTATCATGATTATGACGTTCTTGAAAGGCGATTTTAAATTAATGCTGTGGCGACGTCATAATTATTTGAACTAACACAATATTTATCCATGGAAAATGGAAATCAACTCGACTGTACTGACAAATGCTGACAAATAAGACATGTGAAATGTACCGAAAATACAGAATTCAAACCACAAACGATAAGACAAAACACAATATCAATACATGAATGTTGGATGTATAAATACCGAGACACGTCGTATAGCAATGCGAATTCACATTCGGCAAAACAGTCATATTCGGGAATAGGTCACTTTCGGTACTTAGTAGACAGACGACGTAGATGGTAAACCACAATCTAAGACATGGTAAAAATGTCGTTAGTTAGTTTAGACACTTCGTATAGATCAACCAATTCGTGATGGTGTCCATAAAATTTACGGAGTGTCATTTTTAATCTTTCCTCCTCATAACTCTGTTGAAGCAGTTTCTGCATAAGGAGCACACTCCTGTATATGAAGTCCGTATAGTGTGGACATGCACGAGCATAACGTATCAATTGAGATATGTAAACACCATACGACGGATCAGAGGGTATGTTACTGCTGAGAAATGGGAAATTGATAATTGGGAAGTTGAAATCATCCCGTTTGTCATAGATTTTAGTGTGAAATTCGAAGTCGTCCATCTGTGTCAATATTGAGGAAAATATCAAGGTATGAAGCAGTCCTTCTAGTATCAGTAGTATCCTTAATTTCAAGTTCACTGGGATATATGAAATGCAAGTACTGACAAAAATATGGATTATTCAGTGATAGGACATCATCAATATATCTGAAAGTAAAAGTAAAGAATTTCGCAAGGTGCTTTTTCTTTTTGTCTTTTAGAAGGTTCTGAATAAATTATGCTTCATACGAGAACAAAAAAAAAAAAATCGACCAGAAGGAGTGCACAATTAGTACCCATTGGAATACCGACTGTCTGTTGAAATATCAATCCTCCAAAAACTCAACAAATATATTGTCGATTAAAAAGTCCAGCATTTTGAAAATATCATCTTCAGTGTATTTTCTGATAGAATCAGTGTGGTTCTTCACAAAATAAGAATTATTATAACCCAAAAGAAGAAATTGGTATCTACGATTCCCATTTTTATAGAAAAAGCTCTGTTTAATGAGATGGTGAAGTCAATCTTTTAATTGAGCATGGGGAATAGTAGTGTAAAGCGTAGAAAAATCAAAGGTCTTAATGTTACTGCAAAATTGCAGAGATTGTGATCTAAGATTTAGCAGTAGATCTTTAGAATTTTTTGAGAATCCACATCTGATTGACACCACTGGTTGAATATATATCATCACAATACTTTTGGAGGCCATCTTTTACTGTAGAAAGAATAGTACTCAGCACTTTAGAAAGTTGTTTAGTCGAACATTTTGATGATCCAGCTATGTATCGTTCTTTATAAGGAGTTTTGTGAAGTTTTTTTATCCAGTATAATGACGGTAGATTTTATTCGTTTTCGTTGATGTTAATACCAAAAGAAAGAAGGACAGATTTGTGATTTTGTAAAATTTCATCTTTTGTAAATGATGTTAAAGAATATGTAGGATTACCAATTGTGCTGTTTATTCCAAGCTCTTTCGTGAGACATTGCAAATAAATGGATTTAACATACGACGACAATATCATTGGAAGCTTTATCTGCTGGAACAACGACATATTTGTTATGCAAAGATGATAACGCATCCACAACCTCCGGGTTCTTGAATGGGTTAGAAACCCTTGAGCACATAGTACATCGTAGTTTCTGAATGCATGATCGAATTGCTTAGGTCCATTCAGACAAAGTGTCCAGTTCTGGTTCGTCTGGTTCGCGCTTTATCCATTTTCCAGCATAGTCCTCAACTGAATCCATCTGCAACCTGAAGTTCTTTTTCCAGTTGATGGGCTGGGGAATTCTATATTTTGGTCCCTTGGCTAACAACTCTCTTAGTTGTTCATTGGTTACGATGCCAAGGTCGCCAGTAATAACATGACCAGCTGGACTATAATTGCATTTTAACGATGCGCATGAGCAATCCAGAGGTTTGGAGTTCACATCTTTGAGGTTAAAGGCCCCTAAAACCCTCTTGTGGTTGAAAATCTTGGATGCAATAGACTTGGTGTAAGTATATGAAATTACAGGTGTAGCTTTATTTTGGAAGTAATCAGGTATAGTTTTTTGTACAGATTTTTGGTGGAAAATATTGCTAATATTGATACCATCTAAACCTTCATTGGCGAATTCTACTTTAAAAAAAATTACGTTTTTCCTCATCTTTGGAAGTAGTTGAAACGGGTTTGAATAGTCTATGGTTAGCAATGTCCATGATTATTGCGACTAATCTAAACAAAACAGAATTAGAAACAATAACGGAAGTATTTTGGGCCTCTTGAAATAATAAATGAAGTTTAGGTAATGGAATGGAGTATAATTTAGTTCTGATATGGTGAATTCCTAAAGGTTTTTGAACAGACGATAACTGTCTATCAAATGTCACGGTGTGAACAGCAGGTGGTGTATAATTTCTGTGACCATGACTTCTATTTCGTCGAGCAGAAGTGTTAAATAATTGTAATTTATTGACAGTACTACACCTGGAACTAGACAAAATACCTAAACTATCAATTTTGTCATTGCATCCATAGGGAATGGCTTTCCCAACTCTCTAATCCAAAAGTCTTCTCTTTGTAGACGATATGGTGTGCTCAATATGGGGTCATTTGTTGAATGATATGTTTTCTCTATAATCCGGACTTTCATTGAAACAATAGAATGGCCAGGCTGATTAAAATGTCTAGAGAAATTTGCTGTTATTAGGATCATTAACATTAGACCGATGGTCATTCATTCTTAAATTGAGTCTTTGTCGAGTTTCCCCGACATAGATCAGTCCACAAAGAGCACATTAAATACCGTACACAATATTGAAAGCAGTACAATCTAAATCCTATGACTGTGTGTATTGTAACTTTTGTTAAACCAACAAAGATAGATAGATTTTTACTCTCCTTTATGCAAAAGAGAACTTTCCTTTCATACACAATGATTACGAGGGAGTGCCATGTTATCTCATATGCATGCATCTCCTCTTTATATTCATTTTTGAATGAAATCAATGATTCTTGAAAAGTTTACGACCCCACAGAATCTTTCACATTTGAACCATTGGTAAAATATATGATGATAGAACTTTCTTTCTCAAGCACTGACCACTTACATTTTTTGGGAGGGGGATGGTTTGTTTTTCTTTTATCATGTTTGATTCTAAATGTCTTGAGAAATAAATTGCATGTTTTGAAGTAAAATGGAAAAGGTATTTGACTTTATTAATTAGGTCTTTTCTGTGGAAAAACCTATTGGTTTTCTTCTGATTATTAGGACTTTCCACTTTTCTGTGGAAAGACCTATTGGTTTTCTTCTGATTATTATTATTATTATTTTTTTCTTCTTCCGCCACTTTTTTCTGATGGTGCTTTTTTGTTTCGCAAGATGTCGCTTAGAATTTTTGCGTATGATATCGAACAGTTTTTACGATTTTGAAACTGACCCTGTTAAGCCAAACACTTTTTATTGTAAGAGTTATCTCCCCAAACACTGTTTTTCTTGTGTACAAATCTACTTCGCAGCCGATATAGATTACGAAAAAATTATTTGATCTCCTCTGTCACTTTTAAAATTACAAATTAAAGAACTAGTGCAAAATGTTTGCTTAATTGTGATTAAGATATGATACATTTGGTCTGAAACAATCCAATGATATCTAATAGGAGTTATTATCCATGAAATGATTCAATTTAAGGTTAATTGATTATTACTCCAACTTGGTACATGATAAAGCCATATGGTCTTTTGCAAACTGTTGGTTGACATATGACCTTGAAAAAAGTAAACTTGAGGTGACCTTGAGTGAACCGGAAGTAGTATTTTTTGCACTTATTTAATGGAAAAGTACCTAGAAACCATATATTTTTTGAATGATCATTGGTTAACCTATCATTTGAGACCGGAAGTGACATTTTATAAACCGGAAGTAGCATATTATCTTCCTTATTACA